CCTGCTTTGTGTTCCCTCTCTCCTCGTCTCTCTCTCTGTCAAATAAATAAATAAAATCTTTAAAAAAAAAAAAAAAAAGAAAGTAGGGAGAAGAGAGTCTTTTTCGAGGGCAATTCGGAAATATCTATGAAATTTTAAAATATTCCTACCCTTTGACGCAGAAACATTCCCTCTAATAAGGCAGTGGCTGCAGAGATGGGCCCACAAGCGCACAAACACTTGTGTGCAGAGACGTATGGCAGCACTGTTTCCAGAGGAATAATCCAGAAACGGCCCACATGTCTCACAGGAAATTAGTGCTTAAATAATTATCGTCCATCCTCAACTAGAAAGATCTTTAATTGTAACCACCACCACCAAGAAAACAAACGAAGAGGTGTGTGTGTCACTATACAGGACTTTTATTTGGTCCTTACATACTGTGATGATGTCTGGATTTATTTTAATCAGCATGTACTGTGTGTGTAATCAGAAAAATATTTAGGAAGAAAGAATGGGCACCACGCACATCCGCGCTGCTCACAAACCCCAGGATCCTGGAGGCGCAGGGGGTGGGGGCGCCCCTGGAGGCTCACCGTAGGTGCTCAGCAGGCTCTCGAACTGGGCCAGCAGCCCGATGGTGTAGAGCTGCCGCAGGAAGCCGTCGTCATGCAGGCAGTTCCTCAGCTTGATGATGAAGCCACAGATGAGAGCAGTCAGCTGTGGGGGAGACACGAGGTGAGGCCGTTGTGGGGGGGCAGACACCTCCCCACTAAGTGGCTCCCAGCCCGCGCTGCGCCCTTGGCCCCGCGTTTCTCTGCCTCCACGGCTCTGGTTGGGTTGCAGCAGCACCCCTTCCCCTCCTCCACCTGGGGTGCGGGGGGCACTCGGCTCTGAGGCCACGGGGAGGCTGTGCGGCACTCCAGGCTTGCTACTCCAACTGCTCCCAAAGGCTCGTTAGGTTTTGGCTCAGCTTCCAACCCAACCTGCCTGGGCTTACTCCTGGCCTAGAACCTTCTGGAAGCCCAGAATTCATTCCCCACAGTGAAAAGGGCCTATATTATACTCACAGATCCAGACCAGCTCTGGCTGGAAACTGAAGTGATCACAACAAAGAACAGAAGTAAGAGAAAACACGATCACTCTGCAAATTACCTCAGGGGGAGACTTTCTGTGGGGATGGGCCAGCAGAACCTCAGAGCGCCAGCCTGACCCTCTGTCACTGTTCGCTTTGCTAATGTGATAACTGGCATCTGCTAAACTTGTGACATTCACTTGAGTTCTTCCCTTCTCCAAAATCGTTACAACACTCGTGCACGAGCAGCAGGACTAAGGCACCTTCTGTTTTATAAACCAGGAAACACACCGCACTAATAGCGACATCCGTGTCTCCCTCGCTAAGCTCCTTTGTGGGAAGAAGGGTGGCCAAGAGGCCTGGGCCGTCCGAAACCCGGCACGCCTCGGGCAGGAGCAGGGCATGTGCACAACCCACCAGCACCCGCCACTTCCTCGGGGAGAAGCAAGCGTGGACTCAGACCCTCTCATAAATACATACTTCTCGAGCAGGATTCCTCCCTCCGGGCTGAAATCTAGACCTCTCTAGTAAAGAAACTTAAGAGCCACAGGCAGGGGCAAGTGTTGCCATCCTTGGTTTTCTCAGTGTGAAGTGAGAAAGACTTTCTGAGGCTGTGTCTTCTGGGGGCAGGGGTGCCGGCAGGCCTGCCGGGGCTTACGGTTTGGCAGAAGACCACATCACGGCGGTATTGCAGGCTCAGGTACATGGCTATGGTGGGAGCACTGTCCTGCATAAGCAGGAAGACCATCGCCTTCTTGGCCTTGTCGCTCATCATGGCCACGCAGTCTGTGAGGGTGGTCAGCAGGGGGTAAAGGGCCTCGCTCCATTCACCTGGGCACAGGGAAGGAGTCGTTTGAGGAGGAAGATTTTAAGAGTCAAGTTCCAGAAATTTAGCGAGTTTTGTGCCCCTAAAGCCCCCGTGCCCCTCCTTCCACCTCCCCACCCCCTCTGCATCTTGTAATTCTGCTTGGCCCAAGCTCTGGCCCAGAACTGGCACCGAGTTCTGCCTGGAACCACCCCGGTCTCCAGCATTCTGGCCTGGAGCTTTTCCAGTAAATAAGCAGCAGACCTACTAGGGACCACTGAGGTAGGCCTGGTCTCCCCGACCTATACTAGGGACTGTACCCACAAATGCTCGAGATTATTCCTTTTGAGGAAAATGACCAAAAAAGGCTTCTGCGAGTCATCTGCAAGTCACCACTGTTCCACCACCCAGGGGGAGAAGGGCCCCCATCCTGCTAGAGCAAAGGACACCCCCAGCCTTGTGCAGCCATGTGCGGCTGGGTTACAGTCTCACTTCCCACGTCTGTTCCACCCGGTGTCCCGGTGGGGTTTTCAGCTCTCAGAATGTCTCCCGCTTCTGCCCTCACTTTCTTCCCCAACCCCGACCTTCCCGCCTGGTGCCCTCTATTTCTGGTTTAGTTTTCCTGTAGAGATACTAGGAAATTGTGACCCTGTACCAAAACAAGTTTTTAAAAATAGAACCCCGGGGTGGAAAAACAGAGTTAAAGGTATTTGGGGCTTTGGCTCTTTTTTGCCTTCCTATTTAGAAGGGATTTAAAGAGAAAAGACATGCCCTCATCAGTTCTACTTATAACAGGTCACCAAGCCCAGACATAGGCATTTAACCATCAC